ATCAGAAAACCTTAATTGATCCTCGTGGTGGTTAATTGTCTATATAGGAATGTAAAGACATCAAGACAATAACAGTAAATACAAATATAAAATATAAGGCTTGTAAAAAATGTGAGTAATAGAATTTATAAAAATAAGCTGAATCAGAAAATATGTTAAAAAAAAATACAGTATTATAAATTAAGGTGGAATATCTGACTCCACTGTCATGGAACATATCAGTTTGTCAGCGTGAGATCTGAAACAGTTAATGCTTCTTATATTTGTCATTTTCTACCTGTGTGTCTGTCTGACAGCCTGTTGCAGTGGATCCTGTCAGCATGTCGGCAGCCGGACGGACTCTTTGCTGTCTGCTCCTGCTCTGGAGGAGAACCTCAGGTCGGCTCCTGTCAACAGCTGTCGACTTTGTTTAGGAGAGAAGAAGAAGAAGACGAGTATCACACAGAGCGATTGACGCCGTGTCAGAACGAGAGTGAAAAATATTACAAAGATTCCTGTGGGGAACGTCTCCGTCCCCTCTGGCAGGGATTCGTCTGCTCTCAGACTGTTGTGCAACCTGCAGCTCTGGTCTCAGAGGAGACAGTGAACACACGTGTGCATGTTCTGAACCTGTGTGTGGAAGCAGAGCGTTGATCCTTATTCAGAGCTCCAGTTGTAGATTGTCATACACCACAGCTGTTCTCAGAGTGTCGTCCTGTGCTGATGTTTCATGAACCCTCTGCTGTTCCTCCTCAGCTCAGGGTTCAGAGCTGCGCTGCTCTGTGGCCGGTCCGGTGGGGGAGCTGCACCCTGTTCGGGGTCTCCTGGAGACGTTTGAGGCAGGTCCAGGCTGTGCTGCTCGAGAACGAGGAGACAAGGAGACTCATGTCGTTGCGGTGAGGAGGTCGACGAACAGCCCTGAAAACAAGGTGACGAGTCCAAACAAGAACAAGGCGCTCACCTTCAAACAAACGGAATCATCACTGTCCTTTTGATTAACGTTAATTTCTCAGGAAATAACAACAACATCAGACATGTTCGGTATTAATTAACCCTGGAGGAGGAATGTGTCCTACTTCACTTTTACCACCTAAAATAAATCATCTGACATATGTTCTGTAAACACATGTGATTTAAAACTGCATCGCACTACAGGACTGGTTTTACAGTTTCACCACAGTTTCTCCTCTGGTGTTTCCAGGTGACGGTGTTGCTGAAGCCATTGTCGCCGTCACCTGTCAGAACTCTGCACCTGCTGCTCAGCTCCAAGCTGCCCGTCAGCTGGTGGCTGGAGGCCGAGAGACTCCCGACCAATCTGCCAGTGCACGTGCAGGTCAGTCCGAGTTTCCAGCGGGGCTCAGCCTCGGCCTCCAGAGCAGAACACAACTAAGGAGGATCAACTCCAAGTGTTTCTGTTGTTCGGTTAACGTATATCTGCAGATCCTTCCCCTGTGTGTCATCATCTGCTAGGTGTCCTCAAACTCCAGCGTTCAGTCCCGCACGTTGCATGTGCTCGTCCACGTGGTGCATCCGTTACCGTTTCGTCCACGTGCACTGCACCGCTGGGCCCTGAAACACCATGGCAACATCTCATCTCTTACGCACTCAACACATGGCAACCGAGTCTACATCCGCCTGGGAGAGGGTGAGCCACCGGGGAACCTGCGGCATCACTGTGAACACACACACAAGGTCTGGTTGGGAAACGTTTCCACGAACCTTCTTTGCCTCTGTGTCCGTATCGCAGATCCAACATTATCTCCTGTGTGCCAGCTTCAGTCCACGTTCCTCTCACACAACTTCCTGACCTCTGACCTGCGGCCTCAGGAGGTGAAGGGCTGCTCCCGCTCCGCAGCTGCTGGGATCCACCCTGCGGTCCACGTGATCAAGCTCCACTCTGCAGGATCGGGACTCTGCGGGTGAGAACCTGCCGCCTCCTGTGTGACCGCTCTACAGCCATGCAAGAACAATGATGTTCAATCTTCTCTTCATCTGCTCCAGCTCTCTGCAGGTGGAGGTGATCGTCTCCCTCGTTCCCCCGGTGGCCAACTCCGGGGTGCAGAAGATTGTGCTGATTCTCAGCAGCTCGGTCTCCGTCAACTGGGCCATCGTTGCTCATGGTGTCCAGGGTCACATCTCCGTTCATGTGAGGACACACGTCTTTGTCCTGCTATTCTAGAATCCATCTATATTCAAAATGTAGTATAACTATAAAGGTGTGATTCTACCAACTCCTGAATATTCCATTGTGCCATAAACTCCATCCCGTCCTGCTGCTGTAAGTTAACCCATGTTTTAAAATAGTTCCCGTTGCGGCCGCGCACTGATGTCTTCTCCATGTTTTTCACATGTGACACATCTTGTTATTATCCGTCTTCTGTGTCTCTCCTCAGTCGTCCAACAGTGTGTCCCCACCGTTCCCCCCTGAGCCTGACCTGACCCTGTCCAGCACACTTGACTCTGACCTGTCCACCGTGTCCGACCTTCTTGTCTGGGCCAATGAGAGCGGCTACGCCAAGGTGACCTCATACACTGAGGCTGACCTGGCCAATCGCTTTGTGATCCAGCTGGCTGGGGGCGGGACAGGTCAGGACCCCTGTGTGTCTCTTGTGTCTGTCGCGGTGTGAGTGAACTGATCATTCGTGTTTTAACCCAGTTTACTTCAGATTCCCTTTGTCTCCTGTGAGACACCAGAGCAGAATATTTCCACGCACACCTACAGTGTATGTTGAACGACGGGTGTTTAAGTGTTGATTGTCTCTGCGTCCTCTCTGTGTCCACAGACGTCCTCGCAGTGAGGACTCCTGTGGTTGTGAGGCCACCCTGGGCCGAGGAGCGCAGGCTGAGGCAGTGGCTGAACGGTGGAGACAGAGCGGGAGGCCGAGAGAGTTTCACGGTGCAGTGTGAGGACGGACGCCTCAGCGTGACCGTGGACCGAAGCGTCCTGCAGGTCCTACAAAGATTAGTCACTGATTGACGCACGTTTCGTGCTCGGCAGAAAAATGATTCTGTTCGGAGGTCTGACGTTAGCTCTGTGTTTCAGACCTTGTCCGTCCCCGTGGTTACCGTGACTCTGCAGGACCCGGCGTGCCAGGCTCAGTCTAACGGGAGTCATTTCCTGTTGGTGTTCCCAGTCATTTCCTGTGGGACTGAGGGTCTGTTCGTGGGACAGCCCAGAGTGGTGCAGTACAAAAACATGGTGAGATCGGACATTTGAGCAGAAGCGCAGTATAATGTTTAACATTAATATTAAAAAGTACTTATGACTTTTTTTTATACAAATGTTATTCTAGCAGTTTATACGTAAGTTGACCACGTACCTCCACCGAGGCCAAACTGTCTCCTTATACTTAATCAAGCTGCTCCAAAGTTCACACGCTCATAGAATTTAGTTCCCTAAATATTTATTTCATTGATTTCCTTTAAATGTTTGTTGGAAAACAATTCCTCTCTGTCTCCACATCAGGAGAGAGGATTAGAGAAGCTGCAGAAGAAGAAGAAATCAACAGGAACAGAGTGAATGTAGCTTTAAGATGAGAAATCGTCTGAATCCTAAACAAGGTCACACTTCATCTGAAGGTGGCGGCAAAAAAAAAAAAAAACCCCAAGTAATGGACACTTGAAACTGTGCTAAGTGGAAGTTGCCCTCGCTGTGACCCGGGTCATCACGACCGTCACGCTGCTCAGTTACGGCCTGAAAACAGGAGGCTGCAGATCAAGTGAGAGACAATCTCTGTGTCAGAGGAAAGAAATTAAATGAAGAGATTCAGAAAATTGTACAAAACAACAGAGGCAGCAAGCGAATGTGATGAAACACCAGTCGGCACTCGATGATGCGAAATTAAAACAAACTGATAATCGCATGAAAACGAGGGTAACGAGCCTGTTTTGAAAACGTAAGGAGCAGAAAGTGCAGATATTTGTTGTGAAAGTAAAAAATCATGAGAGAAACAAATACTCAAGAAAAGTAGAGCAACAAAACTATTAAAAACTCTTTCCCCTCTTTTCTGCCCAGATGTTACTGTGGAGGGACAAACCTCAGGCTGTTGTTGCCGTCAATGAGACGGAGAGGACGTCCAAAAGTCCACTGGGCATCCGTGTGAGATATCTGTGCACATCTTTATTATATTTGTTCTTCAGCATCTGATATCCTGTGTCTCTCCTCAGTTCAGCTGTTTGGCTGCAGCTCCCAGCGTCGCCGGCCCGGCTGCCGGTGACGTCGAGGAGGCAAACACTCCTCGCGCCGGACTCGTCCCCTGGGCACCGGATCCAACTCTGAGCCACCTCCCGACCCCCAGACACAGACCTGGGCCTGTGCTGATTTTGACACTTTTTGTCACTGAGGATTATGAACAGACGCGGAATGGCCCCTGTGTCGTCACTGCAGGCCACCGCGTTTATGTCGAGGTCGGTAAATGTTTGAGCTGTTTTCAGATGTGAATGAAAACGATTAAGACGAGTTCACAACATCGTGAAAATCTTTCATCTGTGTTTCGTTGTGTGCAATTCTGCAGATTTCAGCCAAAGGGCCCCTCCCAGAGGCTGTGGAGGTGACGTCCTGTGTGGTCTCTCCTCTGTCGGACCCCAAAAAAACCCCTTTCTGGACGCTCATAAGCGAGGGCTGTTCCTCTGACCCCTCTCTGACCCTCAGCGCAGAGGCAGCAGACAAAGAGGAGGAGGAAGAGGCTGAAGGCGAACCGGAAGAGATGGAGAGAATGAAGAAGAACAGAATTTATCACGGGGACGTCCCAACCCGACACAAATCTGAGCGCCGGAGGAGAGGAGCTCCTGCGAGGACGGAGAGGAGCAGCCGAGACACGGCAGCAGAGGAGGGGACACGGCTGCTGAGGTTCAGTTTCATCCTGCGACCGGTTCACAATAATTCCGTGCAGTTCCTCCACTGCAGCGTCCACATGTGCAACTCTGACTCCACCAGAGGGGGAGCCACTGAGGAGCCGCCAAAGAACGAGTGTGAGGGCGGACTGCGTATTCCAGCTCTGGTGTCTAAGGACCCTACACATCAGGTGCACGAACACATCGCACAATCATTTCACGAAACAATCACAGGATAAATTATTGCAGTTGAAGCCAAAGACCTTTTTTAATTTATACCTCGATATCTGAAACATTATCGTTGCCACGTTTTCTTCTAATAAAGTGAAGCAGAGCGAAGTTACAGAGGTTTTAGTGGTGATATGGTCACAGATTCATTATCCTCTCTCTCCTCTCCTGCTCAGTGTGAGATCAGGAACTTGTACCGGCCGATGGTCGTCACCCAGTCCATCAGCTCGCTGGCCCCCAAGCTGCTGAGGCCCCCTGGTGGCCCGAGAACCAAGAGACTGAGTGTGTCTCCTCTGGCGAGTCCAGGGCCACGGCACAGCAGTGAGCATCCTCCAGGTTTGTTCTCTGCCGCTTGTGACTGTCGGATGATTTCTCAGCTCTTGTTGACGCCCTGTGTGTGCAGACTCCGTGGTGCAGACGGGACCGGTGATTGGCGTCATGTTTGCGGCCTTCATGATGGGCGTCAGCCTGATGGGGGGGCTGTGGTGCATCTACAACTGTACAGGTAATGAAATCAGCGTCCTTCTGATTCGAGCAGTGACTGAACACGGTTTATTTATCAGAACTGTGACACTTGAAAAATATCTTAGAGGGATTGTTGAGGTTTTTTCTCATCCACTTATCCACAGACGCATGAATTATATACACGTCATCAAGGTTTAAACTTTACATTTGTGTGTTTACTGAAGCGAGGAGTCCGACCTTACTTGGAGGTGAAGGTCAACTAACAGAGCAGACTCATGGAGGCCCCAACACCTGGAATCCACCTCTGCTGTCGGATCAGTCGTCCAGCTCGGTGTAGAGGTAACATCTGATGGGAGGGTGCTTCAGATAAGAAGGTGCTTCTGTGGGTTCTAAGGGGGATTAGGAGGAAGAAGCAGAGATGGACCCTGGTTGAAGAAGGAAGAGGAGGACAAAGAAGAAGAAGATGGGTTCTTGGAGACGGTAAAATAGTTTGCTGGTTCTAAAGCAGGTCATTGGTTTTAAGGTTGAGGCTGAAGAGCAGGAACGTTTCAAGTAAATATGGAGACCCCGCACAAAAGGAAGCTGGGGGGGGGGGGGTCGCAACAAAACCTGGAGTATGAAACTGGAGATTAGGAGGCATTTTAAAGACACTTCATTTAAACCAGTTCACGTTTACATGGCGTACTTCTGTGTTGGTCATGATATCGTTACTCAAAAGTGTTTCGTGTGTAATGCGTGATGTTCTTAATTCCTTCTTTGCTGTCGTCTCTGGTGAATATCTTGTGTGTTTTTGTATTTGGTTCCAGTTCTTTTTGTGACTGCGCTGCCAAAAGACGTTTTGAGTTTGTGCCCAATGAGCGAATGTTTCACAAAATGAAAACAAAACATTGTGTTGTCGGTTACGTGAGCAAAACGCTTGTAAAGCTACTGTCCCGTTTCCATGAAGCTTGCAGAGTAAAACTAAACATATGTGCAGCCGTGATGTCAAAGCTGTGTATTAAAATAAACAGTTGTGGTCACATGCACAACAAACGGCTCCAATAAATATATCTGCACAAGTCGTGCACCTGCAGGTTTCTCTGATGCAGCAGATACTGCAGCTCTGAGCAGTTTTATTCTCTTACTTCCTCCTGCAAGTCTGACGGAGGAGAACTGGTTCGAACAGTGTGTGTGTGTGTGTGTGTCCTGGTTGTGTTCATCAATGTGCGGCAGAAAGATGGAAACTACACTGTAGAACTTAGTCATCGCAGTTTTGTCCTTTCTGCGTCAAGTCATATGTAAACTTGGCAGTGACTGAAACATGCGTTCATCTGCAGTCGAACTTGACTCAAACAGAAACTACAGCGTCACAAGTAACCACCTTCAGAGGAAGAACATGATACAGAGGTGAATACTATTTGTGTTGTAACTGTGAATCAGCTGGAAATTAAAACGACATCAGTCTCTGTGTTTATGTGTCAAATAAAAGGTTTTAAACTGAGCCGTGAATCCGCTCTGTCTCTAAAAACAAAGGATTTTAACGTGCTGTGGTTTTGATAAACTGCATCAATGTGTTCATTAAAGCAGGAGTGAATTATGTTCGGTCTATTTGAAATAAAAAAAACATCACAGAAAGATGCTGAAGGTGTGATTGTCTAATTCAAACCAAAAATGCTGATCCTGATCTCAGTTATCTGATCTGATCTCCACTGAATGCTCAGAAGAGACAGAACTGAGAGTTCACACGTACTCAGATGTTGTGACACTTTTTGGAAAAACATTTAGGTTCCTATTATGTGCATCAGTCTGTGAACAGGTCATCATTAGTTCTGTCTGTTCGGAGCCCAGCTGCCATTTATTAAGCTTCTCTGTTGTATTCAGTAATGGCAGAGACACACACACACTCACACACACGCACAATCGCTCTTGCACAACCTTCTGAGGAAAATTATTTCTGAAAATTACACTGGGTGATGATGTTGATCTAAAAACTCTGTTGCCCAGCATTTACTGGGAAAATAATCCAATTATGGTCGGTGAGTTTCCTGGGACATGTCGTCATATTTACGCCTCCGCACCAGCGACAACCGTAGACATTGTGTTTTCAAGTTGTTGTTGTTCAGATGTTGCGACACGGACGGATGGGTTGGTTGGTTGGTTGGATGGTTGGATGGTTGCATTAGGTTTTGGGGCAACAATTACGTTAATTCAATCTAAAATTATAAAACATTTTTAGGCAGACATCAATCATTTAATTTAAGTTGTTGCATTTCCATTTGCTCTGACCCAGTAACATCTACACTGACGCTTACAGGTGTCTCCTTTATTTATTTATATAAATATATACATCAAGATTATTCACATAGACCCTGTAGTTGCAGGCGAAACATTCTGTTTATTGTGAGCATGAAGTTTCTGAGCAGGAAAAAAAAATCAGATTTAAAGAGTTGAAACAAACCAGAGCAGTTTTATTAAACAGTTATCTCGGCTTCTACAATTTTAAATGATTCAGAATTACTTGCAAACTCCACTCGGCCCATCATTGCCTCAGGGCCTCAGTTTTTAGTGTACATGTTTTAATAGCCACACTGCGTCTCTTGGTGGCGCTGTAGGTCGACCCTGCGCTGGAAGGTGACGTGACAGCGGCCGCAGCTGTACGGCTGGTAGCTGCTGTGCTTTCTGCTGTGGGTGATGAGGTTGGAGCTTTGGCTGAATCCTTTACCGCACACCTTGCACACGTGTGGTTTCTCACCTGAGGGAGGACCAGAGCACCTTTAGCTGTTGTTTCATTTGTTTTTGTGTTTTTTCTTTTTTTACTGTGTTGACTCACCTGTGTGTATGAAAGTGTGTTTCTTCATGTCTGACTTCTGGTGGAACCTTTTCCCACAGTACTGGCAGGGGTAGGGTCGTGTGTCCGAGTGGATGAGGAGGTGTGTGGACAGGGTGGACGAGCGCTTGAACTCTTTTCCACACACCTTGCAGCCAAAGCTACGCTCCTGGACATTCACACACACACACACACACACACACACTCACTCAGACATTGTTTGTGCTGACAGTGACACCATCGATCTCACTGTCTCTCACTGTACCTTCGCTCTACTGTAGCTGCCAGGAGCTGTGAAGCCGAAGGGCACGTGGGTCAGGTCCGTGGTCATGGGTGATGTCAAGGGAAACGAGAAGATGTTGCAAACGTGTAGAACTTCCAAAAGAGACTGAGGAGACGGAGAGGAGAAAAAAAGGAAAAGAATAAAACCGTTATTCTATATATTTGTTATACGAAAGCAAGTATACAAATATATTCATTGTTTAAAGCAGTAATAAAGTATTGTCGGCCTCTTGGGGGCGGTAGAGTTAACTAGGAGCACAAAACAAAGATTTTCCACATCAAGTTTATTTTGTAACGACGTAAAACATGTTGATCAGTTTCCAGAATCTCAGCAATATTCATTTATTTTACATTCTACAGAAATATCATATGTGTTCGCATTTCTTGAATAAACACATTTAAGTGAAAACTACTTTTCCATTAAATTAAGCTGAGAGGATTTTAAAAGTCTGAAATGAATCAAGCTCCAGCTTGAATCAGGACGGTGACAATTTTTTATTTTCTTTAATTAAATCTGACGAGTGTCAACGTGTAAATATGCATCAGTACGAATTAAAACAAGGAAATGGAGATAGATTTAACTTTGATTTAACTTTTCTTTTATCTTGCTGATTTGCAGTTGTCCTCACAAATTTCACAATATATACATTTCAATCGTGAACGCTTTAATTTGCAGTCGTTGAGGTTTGAGATCGTGACGGCCGTCGTACCTTTTCACAGAGTGGGCACTGGCTGATGGGTGATTTCAGGTCAATGTGTGACGTGTGGGTGAGGAGCATGAACACCAGCTTCTCCAGCTCCCTCTCTCTCTCAGACGCCTGGTGACTGCTCGACAGCCACATGGAGACGGGCGGAGGAGCGTCTCTGTTCCTCTCGGGGATTTCTGCTGGAACAAGAGACGACAAAAATCTTTGCTGTATTTAGAGTTCGAGAAGGAATCCTGGATCTTGAGCTGCTCTCCCATTCACTGAACTGATTTGTCAGGAAAACAGAACACAACTGTGAACTTACGTATTAATTCCACCACAAATGAACACTGTGAATAAGATTGTTGGGTACCTGCAGTACGAGAATCACGTGTGGTGCCCCGGTTGAGCTGGACTTCCATCCCATCCAACGGTGAACTGACGGTCACAGAGTCTTTGATCCCTGATGTGGAGGGACTTTGGGGACGTCCCCTGTCCTGTCCCTTCGCATGCTGCGGGGCCTGTTCATCTGTTTGGGACCGGGCGTGTTGTCTGACCCTGTGCGAGCCAGGGAGATGAGTCCGTTTACTTTTGACGAGGAACGACCGCGGCATAGCAGGCGGGCGACTGGAGAGAGGTGAGGATGGGAGACGAGGTGAAAACCGTCCAGAGAATAAAACCTGCGGAAGCCAGAGACGTCTTTCATGTCAGAGTCAGAGCTTCACGCACCTGCAGGTTCATGTTCAGTTACGATGCCAAAGCTTGAGGTTTCCTGAACAAATGCAGCCCGACACCTGCAGACTGAGGGTTTTACTGAGGATCACCCTGACTTCTCAACTGCTTCATAAAAACTTCCATTTCAGTTAAACGTAATCTCATCAGAATGGAACAGCAGCAGCATGATTTTTTTTTTTTTTTAAATACAAAAATCTTTATTTCAACGTTGCCAGCGAGTCAATTAAAGTTCCAGTGTGTTTAATTTTCTGATATCTAGTGTTTAAAATTTCATTTTGCAGCTGAACAGCCCTCACTTCACCGTCTCCTTCCAAAAGTGAAAAAGAAACTGGGGTAAACTTCAGTTGTCATAAAAACTCAAAAACTAAAAGGTGTTAAGTTTGTCGGCCTCCGTGGAGAGGGTCCCCTCGATGTAAATATAAAGTATGTAAATATAAAGTATTTAAATATAAAGGGCTTTTTCTGGGGTGAAGAAAACTACAATTCATACAATTTAGATGAAACGAACATCATGAGGATTATTCTACATTAAATATCTGCCAATAGATCCCTCTCACCTAAATCTTACACACTGGAACTTTACGTATTTATTATGAGTTATTTAGTATTTTGATATTAAGTTATTGCTTAAAAATACTTCCATTGACATTAGATGAGATGATCAAGAAAGGAAAGAAACATACGAGACAACTTGAGAGAACTGCACCTCAGGCGAAAACCTACATTTGCCGAAACATATTTCTGACTTTCTCACAAATAAATGATGAATCATTTATTAAAAATCTTTTTTCTGGTTGTGATACCGAGAAGAGCTCCTTCACAACGTCGAGTTAACATACATGTCTCATGTTTGAGGGGAAATTTATGAAGAAAATAAAAAGTCTGAAGAAAAAAAAACCGTATAAATTAAATGTAATCATGAGAAACAGTTAGATTCCAGCTGCAGTGCTCATCTTACCTTCGTCTCTCTGAGGGTTTCTTGGGTCTTTGCTGCTGACAACGTCCTCTTTTCTCTTTCTCACACCCATCGACTGATGACATGACACAAAGAGATTTGATTTGATTTTCTTTTCTAAGGGTGCTGAGGATTCTGGGACTCGGGGCATGGGAGGGGATAAATGTCCGAAAAAAGTATTTGAGAAGGATTTTTTTAAATTATTAAGTTTTGTATATTCTGAGGATCTTTAAAAAGAAAGTCAGTGACTGTGAGATGAAAATACCTGTGTCACTACTGTGTTCACTACAATAGCTGCCGCCTGCGTCAGTGGGCACATAAATACACCGAGCATCAGTCGGAAATTTTGAATTTGCGGTGGTATAGTACCATCCTACACATTCACATCTTAGAGCAAAGGGAGATTTTTTTCTTTATTCACCACATTCACCTCAAACACTCAGCCCCTAACACTAACAGCCCCGTGACCTTCAACCAGGAAGAGTTTGAAAATAATAATGTCAAAGGTGTTGATGTGATAATTCCAATGCTCAGGGTAACACTTGATGATAAAAAAATTATTTATAAACAATAGACCATTTAGAATTTGTGAATCTAGAATTCATTCGTACGGTGAAAACATTTATCTGCAAATATTCAGTAACTTGTAAAGAATACAGGACAGAGAGTTGGTACGTCCCTAAACTTCTAATGGCAAAAGAAAAGTTATGAATCATATCATGGTCATTTAAAACCTTGACAAACGATCAGTAGATGAGTTAATAGATTGTATTGGTGAGTGTTTGACAGCATGTGTGTAGTACAGTCTCCCTGATCCTTCTAACAATGTATAAATGTATATTTTATCAACCATCAAAGTATTTTTCCTCACACCTAAATCTTCTAATAAATCATCTATAATCTTTATTGAGATCATGAATCAATCTTGATGTTAGAACCTCACAGAGAACAAATTAAAATGCAGTATCACTGCCATTAAAAGCTCAATATTACTTTGTTCGAAGTGATCATACCTCAAAAGAAACCATAGAAAACTCTGATGAACTGTTCAAAATCATTGCTTCAAAAGAAACAATTGCAAGATGTGAAAATAATATAGTAAATGTTTGGGCACAGAAACAACTTGGCTCATTTGAGGGAAAGGTAGAACATGGACGGTAATCATTTGTCAGGGTCATATTTTTACGGGAGGACGACAGAGTTCAGTAAAATCACAGAAACGTGATCGGTTGGAATCAACTGACAATTTTTTTCTCATGCGAGGACTTAAGAGCAAAAAAAACGATTTCTTCAGGAGTCAGCTGTCATGCAGCTGTTTTCATATAAAGGGGCGAGAATCTCAATTCAGATTGAAATCAAATCGTACAAACTGAAACCAAGGCTCCTCTCGATGTGGCTGTATGTTGGCAGGCATGTAATTTGACTCCTGGTATAGGCTGCATGAAACGGAGCTGCGTTCACCTTGATGTGCATGAGGAGAGGCACGTCAGGGCCCTGTGGTCGATGTGGTGGGGGGCTCGCAACCTTTTCCCAGGGGCTGTCAGGGAGAGGAGACGAGGCGAGAGCAGGGAGCTGAGACGGGCTGGTGGCTTTGGTGGCTTTGTGCCTCATTTGTATTTCGGGGGGTTCAGGGGCTTCTCGTTCCCCTCATGGTGACAGAGTAGAGTCTTTCTAGGAACCTAAAACTCAGGAGTCGGAGAGAATTCGAATGTTTATGTTGTGACTTTTCAAATCTTCTTTATTTCACGGTCATAGACATTAGTTCTGTTTTTGATTCGAGTATTAAAATCACATCTGAGCAGGGAAGACTTAAATTAATTAAATAATCACGTAGGTGACATTTACTGACATCTTGCTGAATATCTACATGTTCACGTACTTTCTCCGAGTGTCTTTTTTTTTAAAGGCAACGTAGGTGTTTCACGGCATGTAAGATTACATCATCACATCAAATGACCAGGGAATGAGCCACACCACAGTATCCGCAGACGCAGCTCTCTGGGGTTTATCTGTGTAACTGCAGCAGTGCAGTGGTTTCAGTGCTTTGGGGACTTGACAAATGAAGCTCTCTGCCACTTTCTCACGACCAACTTCTCTATCTCTATGTCACCCGTTTACCCCCACCCACCCATTTCTGTCACTGTGGTCGGCAGAAGAGCAAAGTTCATGGACGGTACACGGCCAGCGAAGGAAAGGGAATCAAGTCTGAGGGCGTAGTGAGATTTACATGTTGGTAATGTTTGCACATCTAGATTTCACAATATAACAAATAAGAGACAGTGGAAACACAAAGAAAAACCTGTTTTACAGCATCATTTAAATGGTAAAATCATCTATCGCCATGGGAACTGTGGGCTGTACCTGCTCTCTACATCAGAGGGTCACATTCAAAGCCGCAACACTCTCCACTCGGCCTTCGCCTCCCACTGAACAGGAAGCCATTGTTTTTTTCTCTGTGACGTCTTATCACATCCTCCTTCTCTTTTGAAATCAATCACATATACATATATATATATACACAGAGAGAGATGGTGATACACAACAGATTTGCATCATGTGGGGTGAGAGAAAGGTAAGCGGGTGTGAGAACCACAGAATGACACAGTACCCAGGGCAGCAGCTGCCTGGCAATAAATAGTGTTGATGGTCTCCGTCGTGACAGTGTGAATATATAACGAGAAGCCTAAAGAGTAAAGAAATGTCAAGACAGACACCTTCATTAAGAGCAACAACACTTGATCGAACAACACTAACGACCCCTCTGCGATCTTCACAGGTGAAAGTCAAATTCCCAGAGAAACTCCGGACCCCATTGTGCGGAGTTCATGTCTGAAATCACTCCAACATGCATCAGAACAGGGAGGAGGCGAGGTTTATGCGGACAGCCACCAGGGGGATATCAAGACGCTCTCGGGAGCTGTCATGTCATCCATCTTTATACAGTCTAAACAAGCTAGTCGAGATTTGAGAACACCTAAAGTACGCCTGCGTAAATTTCTCCTGTGACTTCTTTCTTCGAAGCCTTTAAACAAACTACGAGCCTCAATTAAAATGTTCTCGTCTTTTTTTAGCATGAATCAGAAAGTAGCATCAGTAACACAGAACCTGCGCATGCATTGTCTCACCAGGTTCTGCAGATGTTACAAATTTCCAGCTCTGAGTTCTGCGACAAGGTTGTGATGTTTTTTCTCAACATCAATGTGTGAATGCCGACACATATCACAACCCCACCCAGAAAGACTTGAGTGTAAGCGTGTGCATGTGTATGAGCGTTAAAAGGTGTGAAGCCACAGGGCATTTTCACAGCAGAACTTTGACACCGAGGGTGAGGAGAGCATATCGGCCACTCATAGCATCGAGCGAGCCACACCACAGCCCCGCAGTCTAAATTTAAAGCAACATATTTCTGTGAAAGTGTCGCAAACAGCTCAATCAAGTTCAGCTCCTCGCAGTGACATCGAGAAACAGCGACGCCCTCTTGAAAAACAAACTTGTAACAGGAACA